TAAATAGAAATATATTCGCGGGACGTGGATAGGTGGGAGAAGATATGAGAATCGGGCAGGCAGGCTTTACAGGCAGGGCTTCAAACATGTTGAATTCCATACACATTCTTAAGATCTACATGAGATCTTCAATCAGTGGATCTAAATGACCAATTATTATTCATATAAAATCATATAGGATTCTATTGGTTATGCCCAGGGCGCCGGTGCAGAATTCCATACACTAATTGAAACCACGCTAATTTTGCACCAACCTACGGACGAGAAATGTGATTTTTGTCGAGCTTTTAACATTTTTTTGTTGTTTTTCTAACATTACACAAATATTAACAAGTATTTCTCTTTATTCAGAGTCAGATAACAAACTGAATCTATTATTCACAACTTCAACTGCTATCATATTCTGCATATGTGTATCCCTTATTTTGTTTGAACAGAGGTTCTTGGTGACTTCTGTGATCTAATTTTTTGCCTCGCAGAAGATTCAGAGATAGCAGATTCAGAGAGTTGAGAATTCCTTCTTTTTTATTTATTGCTATCATTTACATCAGTAGAGACCGAGTTATTTGTCTGTACTGATGGCTTTCCTGATTTGGGAGCAAATATACATTCTTTTGAATTTGCAAAGTGAGGCTCTTTACAATTGGCAACCCATTGGAAGTTGAGACGTTGAAACCATTGGAAGTCGAACCCGCTGAACGAACCCGTTAACCCGTTGGACCCAAACCAGTGGGATGACACCATTTAAAAGTCAAACCCGCTGGACATGCCCGTTGAAGGTTATAGGGTTAGGGTTAAACTATCCAAGTTCTACATAGTGCGTGGTCAGACGAGCCCCCGTCCGATTTTCTCCGTCCCTGATTGGCCGCCCGTGCGTGCTCCCGCTCCCGCCTCCGCGTGCCCGCAGTGGGGCCCGGTCACAGTCGAGCTCCATCTTCCCTTCCCTTCTGCGGCAGCCAGCCACCCCATTACTTCAAACTTTGCATGTAGGCCGTAGTGGCATATGGAATACAACATATCCAAATCAAAAGCGATAATTCCGCCGGGAAGGGGTTACATTGTGGTGTCAAAGTCAATGAGTTGAGGTGCGATGTTTGATGGGGTAAGCCACCAACCCAACCAGACCCAACTAAATATATATATTTTCACCCAGGCAACGGAGCGGTGCAAAGCGGTGCAAGATCAACAAAGTAAATAAAAATAGCAAAACATATAAGAAAACTGAAAGGCTTCATTCTGGAGTGATTTTAAACACAGAAAAACAAACATTCACACCAGATCAGATCCTGTCAAGTTTCACACAAAGACACTGAATGAAGGAAATATATATATATTCAATGCACAAGACAGACCAAGCATCGACATGGAACATCAATTATTTATCCACTGTGAATCATACCTCATTATCATATGCCGCCGGTGCAAGCACGCTGTGTGGCCAACAGAGATTGAACGGCATCTGAAAGGCAAGGCCCATCAGCTAAAGCATGCGGTGGTTCAGCAGATAAAGGAGAATATAAACTGATGATCTGAGCCACAATGTAGATCTTGACACATTGTAGTGGAAGCAAAGATCACATTGAAGAAAGTGAGATCAATCATATGATCTGCTACATGAATTAAAACCTCTATCTTTCCCACAAAGTCCATCCCATGTTCACTGACTTGCCCATCAGCTAAAGCATGCGGTGGTTCAGCAGATAAAGGAGAACATTGAACAGTGGGACAATGTGGCTCGAGATACTACACAGTTAACACTGCCCACATACTACACAGTTAACACTGCCCACAATACTGAATGAACCAATCCCGGAACTACCCATTCAAGATGGCTACAGGTGCCAGCGGGATCCCCAGTGCCAGTATGTGGCAGGGAACATGAACACCATGCGCAAGCACTGGCAGAACAAGCACAGCTGGTCGCCATATCCCAGCCGTGGCCGTACAGCGCCACAAAAGCGTACGGCAGCACAGGATGAGGTGGACAGATCATGCCAGAAGGTGCAGTTCCAGCAGGTATTTGCATCGCGCAAGGGCTCCCACTACATACAGATCCAGACTAAGGAGACTACTGAGCACACCGGCACGCCAGACCAGAACAGAGCCAGCCATGTCATTGATGAGCTGGAGCGGTTTTACCGGGAACAGCAACGGCAGACCAGCAATGTCATCCAGGCCGGGGAGCACGATGAAGCCAACCCATGGCTGCGGCGGACCAGATGGCCGGTGTACTTGACCAACATCGCACCCAATGATCTGGTCAACTGCGTGCAGCGGCTCGAGGATGACACCACGTGCCCAGATGAACTGGCCGCGAGGGCCATCTGGGAGGCCATGGGTCAGGTTGCCCGTACCAGCCAGCGAGTCATCACACGGCTGGGCCACTTCGTCCGCATCGAGGCCATCCGCACAGAGCGACACCAGACCCGGCACACCCCGTTGCAGGCATACATGGACGAGGAGAGGAGAGCATCGCCGAGCACGTGAGGCCATGGCAGCAGATGTTGATGTTTTTCGCCCGAACGCAGGTCGAGCATGAATGGACGAGCCCACAGTACCGGTTTACACCACGGCAGCGCAAGCATTGGATGGTAATTATGGTAAGGAAGCCACCCACAGAGGGAGGCCGACCAGGCACCCCCCCATCA